ATTATTATTATGATTATACAGGATTTATATAGCGCCAATAGTTTGCACAGCGCTTTACAATATAAGGAAGACATTACAGTCACAATACAATTGAATGCGCGGGGATGATTGTTTGAGAAAGTGATTGTTCAGTGGTCAGGTCGAGCTGGGATAGGCTTCCCTGAAGAGACGAGTCTTAAGGGATCGTCTAAAGGCAGTCAGTGTGGGAGATAGACGGACAGGTTGGGGTAGAGAGTTCCATAGGATGGGAGAGACTCTAGTGAAGTCCTGGAGGCGAGCATGGGAGGAGTTGATGAGGGAGCTGGAAAGCAGGAGGTCTTGCGAAGAGCGCAGGGGGCGGTTAGGGTAATACTTTGATACCAGGTTGGAGATATAGCCGGGGCCAGAGTTGTGGATGGCTTTGTACGCGGTTGTTAATATTTTGAATTTTATCCTTTGGGCTATAGGAAGCCAGTGTAGGGATTGACAGAGGGGGGTTGCAGACACTGAGCGGTTGGTTAGGTGGATGAGTCTAGCAGCTGCATTCATGATAGACTGAAGGGGGGATATCCTGTGTAGTGGAAGGCCAATGAGGAGGGAGTTACAATAGTCAAGACGAGACATAACAAGGGAGTGGATGAGTAATTTTGCGGTTTCATTGGTGAGGAAGGGGCGTATTTTGGAGATGTTACGAAGGTGAAGGCGGCAGGATTTGGATAGTGATTGGATGTGGGGAAGAAAGGTGAGGTCTTAGTCAAGGATGACACCTAGGACCTTGGCCTGGGGGGAGGGCTGGATAGTTGTGTTAACAATCTCAAGGGAAAAGTTGGGGGAAGGTGCACAGGTGGGAGGAATATCATGAGCTCAGTTTTTGAAAGGTTGAGCTTTAAGAAGTGTTGCGACATCCAGACTGATATGTCAGTTAGTAGACTAGTGACACACAAGGACACTGAGGGGGAGAGTTGCGGAGTAGAGAGATAGATTTGAGTGTCATCGGCATAGAGATGATATTGGAAGCCATGTGAGGTTATTAACTGACCAAGAGAGGAGGTGTAGATAGATAAGAGAAGGGGTCCAAGGACAGAGCCTTGGGGGACCCCTACAGAAAGAGGAAGAGGAGGGGAGAAGTAAGATTTGTAGGTGACACTAAAGGAGCGCTTAGACAGGTAAGAGGAGAACCATGAGAGAGCAGAGTCTTGTAGGCCAATTGAGTGGAGTTTTTTTTAAGGAGAAGCAGGTGGTCCACAGTGTCAGATCTCATGATCTGTTTGTCTTTTTTCTTGTGAAGATATATCAACCTACAACCCTTACATATTAAAGCTGAAAGGTAAAGGTATCTGTTAAAGCAAGCAGGTGGATGGTTCATGTACTTTTCTGACACACCTCAAAAAAAGGCAGATAAAATGTAGGTGGTTGTGCCAACATGGGCATTGTGCTTTTACCTGAGGCCCATTAAGAAGTTCTCTTTTTATCTCATTTGAGATTATGGGGTTGATTTACTAACCTTATAAACACACCACGAATGTGTATACACCTTCGTGGTGTGTTCCCTCCCAGCATGATCTATGGGTGGAATCTAAACACCTTTGTAGTGTGTACACACCCAGCAGGTGTGTTGTGCAAAGTCTTGCATGAATTACAAGGTGATGTTGTGTAAATTAGCTCTATGTTGTGTTGCTTGTGTTGATGAATGCAGGAATGTAAATGCATGAGCTAACCATTTTTGTCTAAACTGTGAAGCAGCATTATATATGCATCATGTGCATGATTTTTCCATATATGGCATTAGTGGAAATATGCTTTTAGAGACTTTTTGGTTGATAAATACGTTTTGCTGTGTGAAAATCACACGCACCTGGTGCGTGCGTGTGTTTTAGGTTAGTAAATCACCCCCTATGTATCATAGTTGGTGTGACAAACATTTTCACAAAGTATAGGGATTACATCCATATCTATGATGACTTGAGATTCATATTTACTTTTAGGTTAGTAAAGCTATGGCTATATATCTCTATATTTCTAGTAAATTAATAGAACAAATAATGTAACAGTTTTGCAAGGAAGTTATAAACCGTTTGAACATATTAACTGCAAAACAGAGAAACAGCCGCTAACCTACTATAATACAGGTGATCAAATGGTTTTAAATCTCATTTCCACATTTGCAGAGGTATTTAAAAAAAAAACCCCCATATGCCAGCAATATACACAGAGTGTATATGAAGCAGGCATATTCAGTTGCAATATACGAACACAAAAAGTTACATTTTTAGTTAGCTTTCCGCTTCATCTCTTCATCGAAATTCCTGCAATTGAGCTTTGCAAGTAATGTGTGTATAGTACGAGTGACCTCGCCACCCCCCTATTCATTAGTGTTCATAGTGACAATCCCTCCCCAGACAGTGTATTGTGTGCAAAGGCAGAGCTGCTGTTTACTGATTGTGTTACAATTAATGACAGGTAGGGTTAGAGTTGTTTAGAGTCTACTTTACATCCAACCCCGGTGTCAGACTGAGTTTTTCCTGTGGGGAAAATTTTGAATTTCTAGGCTTCAAGCCTAATAAAAACTTTGTAAAAAAAATGGAGAGCCTGTAATGTGAGTCACGAAAATGTGCACACATATACATCATCACTGCACCTCTACATTACCGCAATAAATGCTAATAACTTTTAAAGGTGGAAATGGTCTTTAACCACCTCTGGTCCATTGGCCGTACCTAAATGGCTGGACGGAAGGCATGTAGCTGCGGGTGGGCATTTTTAGACGTCTCTCCCCACCCCTACTCGCATGTAGCGCTGGGCCCCCCACATACACACGGAAACATGCGTCAGCTGCACCTATGTGCAGAAACGACGGTTGCGCCCATTGTGCTGCACATGTTGCATATCACCATGAACGTCGAAGTCAGTGCAATAATTCTAGGGCCATCAAACGGCGCCAATGGACAATTGTTGGTGTCGTCGTTTTTTGCGATTTTTTTTTCAGGGGTGCGTGCAGTTTTAGGGCTTGACATGTTTGGTGTCTATTTACCCCTACTCACTTGTTTGGCTGTTGAAGGGGATCCTGTGAGACCCCGAAACGTTGTTTAGAGTGTTCTACTTGCAACTAGTATGTTAATAAACAAGTACTGAACTTGCTTTGCAGAACACGTCTTTTATATTTTACCAAAAACTTGGGTGATAATAAATGTTTCATAACATTTAATAGGGAAACTGTTTTTTTTCAAACCTTTCGGTACTTTTTTTGATATAGTAAAATATAAAAACCTTAGCGGTGATTTAAATACCACCATAAAAAAAGCTCTGTCACAATTTTTTAAATAAAATTCATTTCAGTACAGCGTTGCATGGCTGAATAAATGTCAAGTCAAAGTACGGCAGCGCTAAAGACTGAAAAATTTCCTGGACAGGAAGGAGGTTCAACACCACAGTCTTCAAGTGGTTAAGTCTAAAAAGCTGAAATGTGAAAAGAGATTCTATGCCAGTTGGGGAGGTCCAGTCGAGTACATAAAGTTTGCCCAAGATGCCCTGTAGTTTTAGCAGTTTGTAACAAGTTGTGTACTTAAAGGCTGTCATGATTACAATGAACTGGTATTTGGTTAACTCAGACCCCAGAGAGTTGGCACAAGTTGCAAGAAATCTTTCAGTACGAGTTGATATGTTTAAGGGTATTGATCTTGTCTATGAGCATTTATTTAAGTAAAATTGCCTTCACATCCTCCATTATTCGAGGACCCGGTACATGCTCATGTGCCAGGATAGATTTTTTATTTTTTTTGTATTCCCATCTGGTACAAACTGTGCCTCCAAAAGTTGTAATTGTGTAAGAAGAAGTGATGTTTGCCCAGTCTCTTGCATGACATATAATACTTGATAGATTATATAAGGGAATATTGGAATGGTTTGTGTCTGCATTGTATGTGGGACGCCACGGGACCACCCACAACCTGAAGTATCAAAAAGGAGAGGAGACTATCGTCTGCTGGGGGAGTAAGGGATAGGGTTAGTAAAAGTCCTTTTTCCTATCCCCTAGGCAAACATGAGCATTTAACCTTTGCAGTACAGGGGAAGCCCCACTGCAAGGGAGGATTTTGCTTTTCCACTGAGTTCAGCTTGAAGTAGAGGATTAGGCAGTTAAAATTCTGCCCCTCTACCCTTTTCCACAGAAATCATATGTTCAATTACATAGGGCTTTGATGATGTGGGCAGCCCTGTAGGCTACCTGGAAAAGCATGTTCCCTGGGACAGGTGAGTACTCGGCCCTTTATATTACTTGTCATTTATCTCTTCCAGTAAGACTTCTAACATATTTTTATTTTAATATTGAAGTAAAGAACCACTTTAACACCAAGGAATATGAGTAGGTAAATGTTGCCCACACACCATTAGCCATAGGCATGACAGTAATTAGTTTCTATTCATGTATAAATACTGTTTCTATCACATGCAAGGGGGAGCTTAGATTTTGTGCTGCTCTGCTTTTCCAGGAATCAATGTTCTTACATTGATTACAAAAAATAATCCTAACACAAGGCAGCACTGTCAGATCCATGCCGTTT